CTGGCTCTCACAGACCTGTAACGTCTTCTGTAAGAAGCTTTTCTGTCCCCCACTCGTTACCTGTATGAATGGCACCTGTTTGAACTCATCTGTATAAAAGACACCTGTCCACAGCCTCAAACAGTCAGACTCCAAACTCCGCCATGGCCAAGACCAAAGAGCTTTCGAAGGACACCAGGAAAAGTATTGTAGACCTGCACCAGACTGGGAAGAGTGAATCTACAATAGGCGAGCAGCTTGGTGTGAAAAAATCAACTGTGGGAGCAATCATCAGAAAATGGAAGACATACAAGACCACTGATAATCTCCCTCGATCTGGGGCTCCACGCAAGATCTCATCCCGTGGGGTCAAAATGATCATGAGAACGGTGAGCAAAGATCCCAGAACCACACGGGGGGACCTGGTGAATGACCTGCAGAGAGCTGGGACCAAAGTAACAAAGGTCACCATCAGTAACACACTACAACGGCAGGGAATCAAATCCCGCAGTGCCAGACGTGTTCCGCTGCTGAAGCCAGTGCATGTCCAGGCCCGTCTGAAGTTTGCCAGAGAGCACATGGATGATACAGCAGAGGATTGGGAGAATGTCATGTGGTCAGATGAAACCAAAGTAGAACTTTTTGGTATAAACTCAACTCGTCGTGTTTGGAGGAAGAAGAATACTGAGTTGCATCCCAAGAACACCATACCTACTGTGAAGCATGGGGGTGGAAACATCATGCTATGGGGCTGTTTTTCTGCCAAGGGGACAGGACGACTGATCCGTGTTAAGGACAGAATGAATGGGGCCATGTATCGTGAGATTTTGAGCCAAAACCTCCTTCCATCAGTGAGAACTTTGAAGATGAAACGCGGCTGGGTCTTCCAACATGACAATGATCCAAAACACACCGCCCGGGCAACAAAGGAGTGGCTCCGTAAGAAGCATTTGAAAGTCCTGGAGTGGCCTAGCCAGTCTCCAGACCTCAACCCCATAGAAAATCTGTGGCGGGAGTTGAAAGTCCGTGTTGCTCGGCGACAGCCCCAAAACATCACTGCTCTCGAGAAGATCTGCATGGAGGAATGGGCCAAAATACCAGCTACTGTGTGTGCAAACCTGGTAAAGACCTATAGTAAACGTTTGACCTCTGTTATTGCCAACAAAGGTTATGTTACAAAGTATTGAGTTGTATTTTTGTTATTGACCAAATACTTATTTTCCACCCTGATTTACGAATACATTCTTTACAAATCCTACCATGTGGATTCATGGATTTTTTTTTTCACATTCTGTCTCTCACAGTTGAAGTGTACCTCTGGTGCAAATTACTGACCTCTGTCATCATTTTAGATGGGGGAACTTGCACAATCGGTGGCTGACTAAATACTTTTTTGCCCCACTGTATTTATGTTTAGGGCATGCTGTATGGACTCTTGGCTTAGTGCAGTCTTGGAGTCATGGTGGAGCTCACAGATTTGGCAGCTTCTCATTTTTGTTTGGGCCTGTAACTGTTTTCTGTCATTGTTGCACTCCAGGTATACTTCATCTTTGAGTCCATGTCGAAGTATCTTAACATCGACCAGGAAGGACTCTAAGTTTCCTGTGATGACTCTTGGTTGGTAATACTTGCTTGGTCGGGACCTTTACAATTTTAACTTTGCTCGGATTGATGTATAAGTACTGATCCTTGTGCTACTCAGTTGCTTATGGTGGTGGTCTTTTCAGCTGTGTTAGTTTGAGTTTTATGTTCGCTGATGTTCTGCGCATAAGAGGGGCTCTTCATTTTCCCCAGGTTATACTGACAAAGGACTTTATGTCACAGAAGACGGCCTGTGCTCACTCGACCTTTTAAGACTCTCATGAGTATTTTTGGTATTTTTAGCTGGGGTTTTTTGAATGAAAGATTTGTGTCCAACTCCCTTTAATGAGGAATTCCACCTGATTGGTATGGATAGTATCTTTTTTTTATTTACGTAAAAGTCTCTGTGTAGTAGGGTTGGAATTATTGATTAAGTTGTTTCTGGCTAATCAATTTATTGCTCTGTTTAAATCATATCAGGGAATAGTGACAGAAGGTAACTGTCATGGAACAACATGGAACAAAGTGGAATGCCAAGGAAACTAGCCAATTTATACAAACTCATTTAAAAAAGTGTTCAAATATCCAGCCAGAATTATGTCAGAAGCTTGTTCATGACTAGCAATTTAATTAAATTTAACATTTAATCAAATATTAGTGGGGGTGTATGTATATATTTGAGCCTGAATGTATACTTTTGATTGATTGGAGAAAATCCGAAATAAATTAAAATTTGAAATTGAAATGATCAAAAGTCCAAAATTATCATGGCATTCATGCCTTTTTCACCACTGCTGTATCCTTAAAATCTGAATGATATTCAGTATTAAAGACTAAGCTAAGTAACTTTTAAATTTTTGTCAGTTAAAGTTTATGAAAATGTTTCTGATGCGATTATTTTAATACAACTGTAGCAGATTAGCAGATCAATTTATTAACTAAGTAATCGGCTTGGAATTAACTGTAAAAAGTATTTCAAACATATATTTCAAAGGTGTAGCAACGCGAGCATTTAACCGTGTTTTGTAACACTGTAACGGGTCTCATATTTGAGCACACAATAAAGCAGGACATGAGCATGAGAGGCTTTGACGTTTGTCGAGAGGAATTTTAAGTCTTGCAGATGTTGCTGCACAATGGTTAGAGGGAAACACAGAAATCTCTGTCATGGCGCCCCTTTCACCCACTTCACATCATTATTCGAGCATGGGAAACCTCAACAAGAAAAACGTGTATCCTCACATTGTTCACGTGGAAAAATGTTAGGAGTAACTGTTCTAAACACTACAACCAAATTTCATGAACAATGAAAAAATTGTCAGTTCTTTACTGTAAGCGCTGAATCACTGCTTAGGGGGATATCATCATAGATAAACATTTAATTTGTTCTCAGATGTTGTCGCTGCACGTACTTTCAGGCCCAATTTATGGACAGCGACAGACATTTGGTCCATGTTCGGTTGGTTCAAAAACAAGAGGCCAAAAATAACCTCTTGAATAGACACTGCTCGCCAAGTGATAAAGATCTCTCCATTGTTGGTTTCAGGGGTGGTGCGGAGTTTCAAAGAGGCAACATACTCATTAGCTTGTTTGTGCATGTGTGTGCGCATAAGTGTGTGTTAGCATTTTTGAATGTAGTTGCATGATTACTTAAGTGAGTGAGCAATGTGTCTGTGTGTAATTATCCATAAACACTGTCCAAACTTTTTTTTAATCTGAGACCAACAACCTGATGACAAGACGTCAGTTAAAAATCGAGTTTTATGTGTAAATATTCTATTTTTGGTCTACTCTATTTACTTTAATCAAGTGGTTGATACATTTTTTATTAAAGTTTATTAGTACTGGGAATATACGCGAGTATATGACATGAACTGATGCCATACACCTCAGTATTTTTAGCATAAGCTACAATTTGAAATCCCTGTAAGACTGAAAAATACATAAACCACAGCTACAGATACAGAAACTGATTAGGAAACTACAGGCAGAACAAATAAAGAGCACAAACAGTAAGAATGCATCAAGAAGCACCCATTCATGGCTAATTGCCTTTTTAAAACTGTTTAATTAATTTAAAATGAATCAGCATTCACTTTGGGTTCTGCATGTAAGAAATCCCAATGTTGGATTCACCTTACAGTTCCTTTTGGACATTCAGTGTCTTTCTGAGCCTGAAACTCTTAAGTGGAACCACAAGGGACAATTATGCAATCTTGCTCTCATAACTGTGTGACTAACTGTGTCATTAAGGGCCCGCCTGTTGTAGCTACTGACTATGACAAGAAGGTTACACAATAAGTTAAATATGAAGAGATTGCAGGAAGATCATTAAGCTATTTTCAGCATGAAATTGTCTCTAATAAGTCTAAGCATCAGTAAGCTTGCTTTTTCAACCTTGTCCTACATTGACATGCTTCTCAAAAACCATTTGCACATTGTCTATTTTTTCTGGTTGCATACAGAAAATATGAGCAGTCAATATGATACCATATATTTGTGCAGACAGTACTTCACTAGCCCTTTAAAGCCAAGCGTATTGTATTTGATACATGTGTTTTTGTGAGTTTTTGAGACTTCTACATCATCAGCATGACCTTTTTTGGCCCTCAAAAACTGATATAAATTGCATGACACATTTTTAATGACTAAATTCCAAAAATATGGCTAATGTAGCAAATGTGATACAAATTAAAAGTCATACATGCAGATTCAAATCTGATATATTTTTTTTTATATTTTTTTGTCTAAAAGGTACAACAAACACTCCCATTATCAAAAAATTAAGGATTTCTGGCAGTTAGTTCATGGTTATATAGATATTTATAATCTTGATTATTTTTGGAGGCTTTTTGCTGTTATTTGATCTTACAGTGAAGATTAGATAGAAAAGTGGGGAAACAGACAAAGCCTCAAGTCAGAGTTGAACCCAGGCTACTAAATTTAACCTCAAGGTATGTGGTTGCTTAGTAACATCGGGGCTAAACCAGCAACCCTAGATATTTATTGAAAAAGTTAAGGATGTTAATAAAAGTCTTATGAAGAGGGAGCTTTTATCTGTTTCCTTATTTTCTGCCATATATACATCATTACAGTGAGCACATTAAGGGGTTTATCCCATCTTGGAGCTGCATGATGTCAGAGTCACACAGAGAGAGCACAGCAGCCCACCCAACTGCTTCTTAAACCTTTTGTTTGGGAGGGGGAGCCAATCAGAAGAAAATTAGGGTCCACTTTAAAGTAAACGAAGATTATTTTGATCAATGAATCGTGCAAATCTATTTAAAAATAAAAATTTGCCTCTAAAAAAGAATTTAGATTTTCTTACAGGTGTACTTTAAGACAGAAACCAAGAAATGCATGCACACTGTGGTTAAAGGAACATTCTTTAAGGAACAAATTGCCAAAGTTTATTTATGTGTTTCTCCGCTCATCCACAGCAAACTACGACACCAAGCACAGAGTGAGCGGTTTGGATACAGAGAGGTAAGACTGGTGTTGATAATTTAAGATATTTAGGCTGTTAATTTTTTAAAAAGCATTACTTTAAAAAATATCTTGTGTTATTCCTACAGGTAGTTTTAAAAGGAGATCCAAAAAAGTTGAGTCTTCATGGGGTAAGAATGAAATTTACATTTCTACCTGTTTGCGTTCAGCTTTAAGCTGTTGAAGCAGGATAATTTAATCTAACGACTGTCCTCTCCCGCTTCCTTCCGTCTGTCACTCACGCAGCAGACGTGCGCTGTGTGTCTGGAGGACTTCAAAGTGAAAGACGAGCTGGGAGTGTTGCCATGCCAACATGCTTTCCACAGGAAGTGAGTAGAGCACAGTGGAGTCTTTCTTCACACTCGCTTGCCAGTTTGCACCTGCTAGGGCTTGGTAAAGTGAAAATGGTCACGTCTGATGTGAAGTCCATTGATCAAAAGTTAAATGGAAATTTTTGGTGGAGTACTCGTCATCATTCATTCATGTCTTGGTTCCTGCTGAGGATCCCAGCATGCACATCAGACAGAGCTAGTCTGAAGACCTTGCAGAGGAGGCAAAGCTATATCCTTGTGCTTTCAGTTGTCTAAAATTGAAATGCTTCTTAATGTGAGAAGGTTTTTTAAAAAATTTTTTTTTACTGGGTTCTGTGAGAAGAGTTTAAAAGCAAAGAGGCCTTATCAGAGGAGCAATTTGATATTCTGGGCTAGCAGCCTTGGGCTACAGTAGTTTTGGTATAAATTGCTAAACATTCTCTACTTCATGGTTTAACTACAATCAAAGGCAGCAGGACATTATTTTGGTTTCTTAAGACTCTCTTACAGAAAGATAGAACTGAAAAAGCTCTGTGAGTCAAATATTGCAAGTAAACAACCATATGTGGGTTGCTGCTATTGCCTAAAGACATTTGTGTCAAGCATTACTGAGATGACACTTGCATTAGGAGATAGATGTTGCAGAGGTGGCGCAAACAAACTTGTCTGTGTGGGGGTTTACCTCTCATATAGGACGTGGGTTTTTGTTGTTGTTGTTGTTGTTGTTGTTTGCTTGTTTTTTTTTTTTTTTTACTTTTCCAGTGGTTTGTTGAGGTTTAGGCACCAAAACGGCTTTGTCAGAGTTATGTCACTTTTCTAGGTTTCAAGGATACCAAGTCCATTAGAGGGGACCCAGGATCATTAATATTCTTGAACACTTCTACACTTCATGCAAGTTTCCGAATAATCGGCTTTGGTGCAGCCTTTCATTTATTCCCCTCTCTAAAATGAGCCATAGCTCCTCCCCTTTTAATTCTTCCTTTTTCTGATTGGCTCCAACTCACAAACAGAAGGTCTGAACTGCAAACACGTGGAGCTGCTGTGCTCACAGCCAGAGCTGCATGTATCTGCCGATTTTTAGGATCATCTGAAGCCTGAGCTGTTGGCAGACAGGTATTATTTGTATATACTCTGATCCCATTATTTGAAACTCTGGTCTTGTTTAATATAAGCATCCTTCATTTATTGCACACAGTTTTAGTTGGATCAATTCAGATGGCCAAAGAGATTTCTTGGTTTTAAAACATGACTCTAGGAACAGCTTGCACAAGTGACCAGTCCAGCTGTTTTCTCAGTAAGGAGAGCTTCAGTAAGATGTAGCATACTTAAAAATCTATTACCATGACCACTGGGAAAACTGTGGGGAACCTGATTCCATCCAAAGGTAACAGAACCTTCATACCAGCACCAGCAAAGCTAAAGCACATTCTGCTTGTCCATCCCGTAAACTGTAAAACCGACACATTGGGGAGACTGTGCATACGTCTATTTTCGGTCCAACTTTCTGCAGTCTTGTCATCACTGTGAGACGACCAGCACAGGCTCCAGGAATTAACGGCCCCCAGCCTAGAAATAGTTTCTGCAAATGCTGCTTACGCATGAATGGCGGCAGCATCGCATTTTGATTGCTGGTGTAAGTGAGTTCTAAAGGGCTCTCACATACTCATGCATGGGTCATAAGCTTGCCACTCTGTGAAAAAATGACTAAGCTGTTAAACATTGAAGATTTTGTTGAAGTTAGTCCAGCTTTCTTTTTCCTCATTCCTGTCCTGTCTGTGTTCCTCTATGCAGGTGTTTGGTAAAGTGGCTGGAGGTGCGCTGCGTCTGCCCCATGTGCAACAAACCCATAGCCGGCCCGCCCGAGCCGCAGCATAGTATAGGAACTCTGCTGGATGAACTGGTATAACCTCTCAGCCTCAACCAGCCTGGTTGGGACGCCGACGCCCGGCCAAACTAGCTGGTGTGAGTTACAGACCATCAGGAAGAGGGAGACCGCTTTGCTGTTTAAACACGGCAAAGCACAAAAATGAACTGAAGGATGCTGTTGCCTAGCAACAATCTCCATGATAGCAACACAACACCTTGTGGTTGAGATTATCTTCAGCCGCCCACACATCACTCCAGCCCTCTCCTTTCACGATCCCGTTCTACATGCCTTTTCTCCACGTCCCTCACATCCTCTCTTGTTGGTTCGACTGAGGTTAACAACAGCACTGAACGGAGGGCAGTTTTTTCTCACTGAAGTGGACAAATGAGTGTTGATGAACAGCAGTGCTCGCAAGAAGATGCTGATCCCCCCTGAGTGTGTATCAATGCTGCCTGTCATGTGCTACCTGGGGTTAAATATTATCCATATTGGCTGAGTTATTTAAAACTCAAATGGGAAAAATTATTCCAGTACGTGGCACTCCATGAATTTTTTTCAGTTGACAAGTTTTGAGACAAAATTATAGTTTGTGTTTGACATTCCCAGCAGTAGCTCAAGGTCAGTTTTTAAGATGCAGTAGAAAAGAAGAACAAACTGCAGCCGAGGAGAAAAAATATCACTGTAGCAAAGAGGGCTTAACCCTTCTGAGGCCCTGGGACCATTTTTGGTCCCCAGGGCTCTAAAGGGATGCATTTTTAAGGGTCAGCGAAGGGTTAATAAAACTAAGAAATACTTTTTTTATGATTAAATTGAGGTCATGCTGCTTAAAATTCAAGGAAACGGTTATTCATATTGCATTTATTCAGATGAACTCAGAACAGTGGTAGAAAAAGAGCGGGACATGAAGCTGCCCTTGCTCACATGTAGCACGCAAAAGGTGATGAATTTACTAGAAATGTTCTGAAAGGCTGAGCTGAGGCGTGGTGCCTAGGTTTAATGTGCAGAAGACCCGTTTGCTGTGAATCCTCCAGACAGTTGGCTGCTCTATATATAGAAAAAAGTCCAGGACTGCCGAACGTTTGTAAAAACAGCCTTCGAGATGCAGCTCCAGCTTTCGTCCATGTGTGGTAAACGTCTGCATCAAGTCTCTTACAAACCAGTTATTTCTGATATAACGTCTAAAATCCATACTGGTGCCAACCCCTACAGTACCACAGGCTCTAGCTGTTTTCTGTTGTTGTTGTTCAAGGGGATGTTTTATTGTCCTGTTGTGTTCTCATGTTAATATAGAAGGAACACATCCTGACGTTCACGCTAACAGTTTTGTTGAAATGTGTTGAAAGGTTTTTTATTTTTAGGTTTTGCACTTTGAATTCGGACACACACACACACACACACACACACACACACACACACACACACACACACACACACACACACACACACACACACACACACAAGTTTCCATGCCTTTGTTCTTATAAATGTTAGACTTCGGTTTGGTTACAGCACAGCTGTGTTTTGAGGTGTGGTGAATCTTTTATAAAAGTCTGTGAAGTACCAGAGCTGGGTGATAAAGGGAGCAGCAGTGCAAGCCCTCAATGAATTCACCTGGGAAGCAACTAAATCTCACTCTCATAAACCGTGTTTTCGTGGCATTATTGCAGGTGGTTTACATTCCTCAGTCGTAAGTTATTTTTGTCTATTTTGTGATTTACAGATTCTGAAAGCAAAACACTGCCTAAATTGAGCACAAAACTCACAAAGCACATTGTCCAGATACAGCAGGCAGCTGCACTGTAATTAAAATGTGCCCTGTGCCAAAAAGAAAGAAAAGAAAACAACAAACAAACAAAAAAAGAGTTGATCATGTTTCATTTTCTGCACACGAGAAAAAGAAATGTTCACTCTGATTCTGACCACATTCCACATTTTGTAATCCAACAGATGTAAATAAGTTAAACAATAAAAAATACAGTTCTCTGGTCATGCAGGCTCTTGCTTATTTCTTGAAAATCATGGTTATGGCACCACCATCAGGTGAAATCAAGTGTATGTGATGTACATTGTTTTAAGGTTGTTTATTTACTTGTCAAACAGTTGTCAAAAGTTTTAGAGTCTTGGTGGAAACCAGACTGTTTGCACTGAATTTCAGCAGGAAAAATGTAAGATTTTCAATTAAATACACTAATTAAATACTGTTCGAGTTCCTCTTTCCAGCACTACAGCCACTATTTGTTTTTAACTTGAGAAAACTCTTGATTGTTGTTTGTTTTGTTAATACTAGACTTATATTGCAGAAACAGTTGTTGTTATAATTTATTGAGACTTTTGAGTTTAATTGTCATATAGCACAAATAACAACCAATTTATGTTTCTCACCAGCTTGCAGTGACATCTAGCCATGCAGATAGTTTTTCCTGAATCTTTTTTAGACTTTGACTCTGTCTCCGAGACTCCAAGATGTTCAAAACTCAGTACAAAGCAAATTTCAGTTAATTCTAAGCAGTATGCACTGAAGCAGGCAACATATGTTTATATGGAACACTGTAAAAAAATATTCCGTAGAAAAACAGAAAATGTCCTGGTAATTTTCTGCCAGTACATTTTCTGTTTTTTTACGGAGGTTTGACGGACCTTTCTGTAAATGATAAAACGGAAAATTCTGTAGATTTACAGTATACTCTCTGTACTATTTACGGACATTTCCTTCAGCTATAAAACAGAAAATTCCGTTTATTCACAGTATATTTTCTGTATCATTAACTGATATTTTCCGTTAATAGAAAAATTGAAATTTCTGTTTATATTACTATTTCCAAGCACTTCTTTTCACTGTAACTCATTAAATATAGTTCTTTATATCCTTAAACGTACATTTCTATGCAATTACAACCTAGTACACCATGTACTCAAAAATTCATAAATTAAAACTTAAATTAATTTGTGCTTCGTACACAACAACATTGGTACAATTAATGTTAAATATTCTTTTATTCTCCTTAACTCAAACACTATACTTAAATATAATGACAGCATCCATCTTGTCATAAAACTACTAAACAGCTGATACATGAACAAAATAATTCACAAGCTTTCAAATTTGAGCATTTTTATTTCCTTGAAATCAGGTTGCCCTCATGTAAATGTGTTTATTTACATTCATTCAAGTGGCTACCAAGTGTTTTCTTCAAACAGGACACCTGACAAACAAAAAATGTCATATTTAACGACATGTTCACATTTAATAATATCCAGAGTACCTTTTAGTTAGAATCACTGCCTTGTGGTAGTTTTGCCTCAGCCAAATGGTTAAGGTGTGGTTTACATCCATCTCTGTCCACTTATGATACAGTATACACATGTAGTCAGTTATAGCCAAACACCTTTGATTACTGAATTGCATTCACTTCATTAATGAAGTGAATGTAATTCACATTTGTGTGAACATTTGTCTGAGATTAACTCTTTGGGCTCTTTACCTTACAATATAACATACTTGAGTCAAAATTTGTTGACTGTTTAAGTGGTGCCACATGAATACAACTGAACAGATCTAAAGAAGATGTTCCTGAACTTTGGGTTTATTCGAACAGGACTGATGGATAACCACAGGACTTTTCCCCATATGATAACTACAACACATAATAAATTAAGACAGATTACTGTCCCAAACTTAAAGATAAAAGTGTATTTACGGGACTTGTTTTGTCAGTGAGGAGCAAAGTATAATTAGAAGTGCTTGTTCTGATGAAAAGTTAAACTGTAAACAGCAGCATAGTGAATAAGGATCTGTGTCCACGAATCCTCAGCAGTGACAACACTTAAACATCATAGTTCAAAATCCTTAATGCACACCTTTTTCTCCACGGTGTTCAAATTCTCTAAGCTGGTTAAGTAGAGGAAAAAGTCTGACATATTTCATGACCATTAAATGTTAGACAAGGCTCTGAAAACAAGGTTACAGTTACAAACAAAAACCTCTGCTTGTGCGCACAGACCCTAAATCACAACAAATAAGACAATAGTAAGACAAATTACTACAAAGTCTTGTTACCGCTCTTCATATAACAGTGTGACAAAGTCCTGAATGCAGCCTGCATGTTAGTACATCAAGGTCCATCTGAGCTTTAAGTAAAATACACTCAGCTTTTCCTTGGATTTTAAGAGTTGCTCAGTTCATACAGGAACTGCAGCAGTCGGGATTAACGTGTCGCTGTGTTGCTCCTCCAAGTCAGCCATTGAGACTAGTCGCAATTTATTCTGAGGAAAAAAAGAGAAACAACAAGACATTTTTAAAAAGTTTGTATTTTTATAATTTTTTTTTACCTAGAGCATAAACAACATAAACAAAAAAAGGATTAGGGCTGTGCGATATGACGATATATATCAGATTACGATATAAAAATGTCTATCGTTTCATATTATACACTATTCTTTGTTTTGTGGTGTTGCAAAATAAACTGTTTACGGCAATATTTTTTTCATGGTTTTGATGGTCACTGTAGTTGCTATATTATTTCTTAAAGTTCTCTCCTTCTCTTATACTTAAAATAACCACACTATGGACGGACAAGTGACTGTTTTTACGCGTACTTTCGTTACCAACAATGAGGATAAAACCATCGTGTGGCTCCGCCGTCCGCTTGTTTATTTTCCACATAAACCTTTCACAATAAAGCTCAAGTTTCTGTTGAGACTTTTCAAACTAAACTGAAATGATATACATTATTCTCAAACATAAAATTTCAGAATATGCATCAAACAAATGACCTCAAATAAAAACATCAAGTAACTATAAATGGCGCTTACAGTCACCACGCAGATGAAGGCACAGAGAATACCAGCATGGCCAGCAAGGATGAGGCAGAACCAGAAGGACCAGTCAAAAGAAATCGAGGACCTTATTGTTAAATGAGGGGCTACCTCTGTAGCATGGACATGGTTTGGTTATGAAAAGTCTGACACGCCCCAGAAAACTGTACTATGCAAATTATGCCACAAACTGGTCCCCACCACCACTCGAACACGACAAACCTCCTTAACCACCTACACAAGAATCACATGAAAGAGTTTCGAGAGAGTTTACGAATGAAAAGCAAAAAAGAGTCGTCAGGTGCTCAAAATAATCCTTAGACTCAAACGTTAGAACAGGCTTTTCCTTGCAGCACGCCGTCTAATAAATACTCAGAAAGAAAATGGCGGCCATTTAAACTCATGTCTAAAAATGTATAGTTTCATGCATCGGTCAAAACACTCGACTCCTGGTACACGACGCCCAACTGAAAACATTTCACATAAGTCGAGTTGCCCGAGAATCACAGAATTTACAGAAAATGCACTATTTTGTGATATATATCGTTATCAGGAGAGATACGTCTTATATTGGGATATGAGACTTTGGTCATATCACGCAGCCCTACAAAGGATTATAATTCACGTAGAGTTGCATACACATAACACCATTCTGTTGCAACAAAAGCAGTTTATAATTAAAGTAACATACATACCTTGAAAAACTAAATCAACCACAACATTAAACTCACCTTGTGTTTGTAGAGAAGGTGATCAGGGTTTTTCTTCATTTCCTGAGACCAGCTGCTCTGGATCATCACCAGCTTGTATCTTCATCTTTTTTTTCACTCGGGGAAGTCTTTCCTTTTCTTGGCCATTGCTCTGCACTGGAAAACCAAAGTGTGTGATCAAAGGTGAAATAAGGGATATTTTTCCACTGCAGGACTTAAAGTGCTTCAAGTAGTGATAGCTGTTGATCCATTTCTCAAATAATCTGTAAGGATCTGGATTTTTAAGAAAGATACAAATATCTCTGCTTATATTTGGCTAAAAGCTTGATATAGACAAGGCATATAGAGCCCCTGCACACCAGCACTGCGCTTACATTATAGTTAAATCAAGAAATAGTTATTATTGATTTATTATTGAATTTTTTTAGTAATAATTTTTAGTATTTAATCACATTAGCACAGTGGGGTGACAAAAATATTCCACATACAAGAAATGCTGCTCAGCATTTCATAAATTACATTTTCAACAAATGTTGGAGTAAAAACACAGTTACAGGGAAAATGTGTCTGTCTGTAAATATTAACTAAACATTTCTATGTGCTACAAAATAGACATACTGTAATTGTAAATGTGCTGAGGTGAAACTATACTTTCAATAATTTTACCACTACAGTCTGTTAACCACCGAAATAATCTATGCTGGTCAGCTAGCTAAAAGTCTTTACTTTAGCAGCCCAAATCAGAGGCTAACATTAGCATTTGCTAGCGTCAGCCAGGAAGGTCTGAGGCTTAAACTAGGGTTAGTGTAACTTTGCCTGAAACCCTTTAAAGTGTACAGTAGAGCCAACTGTAAAACACAGGTATTGATACAGTACTTATTAGAGT